TAGTGAACTAAATTATTTATTCCAGTAGAACCCTGATCTGCTTACACGGTGACGTGGTGATGCAGTACCTTCGGAGTCGGCTTCGAACTCTAGAGATGCCGCGGGGCAGTCTGTCTTAACCATGAATTTCCTTGTGCAAGGAACTTACCATACGTTGCTTCAAGCCAGAATTGCCCAGTCGGTTGATCGTCGGACTCAGAACCGAGGAGTCTCATTTTCGAGCCTCTGTTAGGATCACTCGCCCTCCTAACTTCCGAGATTGATAAATAAGTTCTACTCTGATGGAAAGAAACAGGCGATCTCACATTCTACGTGCCACATAAATGCCGTCAACCTTACTTTTAAAGATATAAGGCGTTTCGCACTGATGATTATGAATGGAAGGGCGGCGGAATTGCCCCAGCTTGAACACGTACAGAACATTGGCATCGCAAAAACTTTCGTTTCCTTTTTGTAAATATCCCCTACACTACTGGAAGTAAGGGACGGTGCAGTGATCCGCGAAATCTGGTCTTGGGAAGAGTATGAACTAATACGTCTTATTGGTGCATGTTCTCTGAATGTTGAATAAACCTTAATTATGAGACAAAGGTTCATCACTATTTATCTGCTTTACATTTACCTTACTACGATACATTTAGGTGTTCTCTTCTGCACGGGTACGCGAAGTCGGCCATCATTAACTCTGTTCGTCGGTCGAATCAGATGGCACTACCCGAACGAAAAGAGCCAATCAATTTTCTTGAACCGAGGGCTTTGGCTAAAGATGTAATTACGGAGATGGACGAACCGTCGCCCAACGCCGCTGCGGTAGGAAATATTGATTGAAAGCCGTCTGAGGTTTCTGGTATGTTCAGCACACAGGTAGCTTTGAGGTTTTAGACGACTTCAGTTTCAGTACCTACTCTTTCTTCTTCTTACTTATATATGCTCCTGTTTTTCTCTTTTTCTAGATTTGTATTTGAAGTTAGTAGTAGGAAACTGCCTCTTGAAGTTGTATTCATCTTGTCTGTTTTGACTTCCTTTATAGCTGTACTTTTTCTAGATTTTTTTCTGTAGGCGTTGTGCAAGGTAGCGTTACTTTAAAATCGCAATATAATAACATGTATATATAATATTACGGGCCAGTAGGCACATGGCTCCGCCAAAATCAGGATGCATGACGTTGGATTTTGTCCATTTGCACGTAATTGTCTTGAGGAGGGAGA